CGATTATATAACTCACGTTATCTTCTGCAGATCATATTTCAACATAATATGCATTGCATAATAATTTCAAGTTGGCGTCATGGGCAAACCACGTCAAATGCGTGTGGCAGTCATCGTGTTAAATAAATTTCAACTGTACTTAATTTAGTAAATCTCAGTTTTCACAACTGCAACAGTGCTGATGTGTATTGCATTAAAAAGCCAACAAAAAACTGTCACTGTTAAATAACAATAAAATCAGTATACATCAATACCAAATGTAGTTAATTTTTGTTGGATGTTACATTCAAAAATGTTTGCACATAACCAACAAATAACAACAGTAAATTTCAATTCACTATTTTCTGTTACTGAATTTCTATCTTATTATTTCAACAATTATGCAGTTTGTTATGAGTAATCCTTATGATTTATTGCCATAACAAACACATAAGTACGAGTTAAAATACATAGCAAGGAAAATAATGTATCAACTTTTAACAAAATTAACTATGTAGAGTAATTCAGAAGTCAAACAACAAAAATCAGCGTTATACCTACAAAATTTTCACAGGACTAGTTTCGATGGTTTTACCGAACCATCATCTTCAGCTGCAAAACCGCAAATGAACAAGATAGGAAATAATGATTAGATAAGATAAGAAAGCCTGAACAAGAATAAGCAAGTGGCGCCATCTGTTGGCGAAACCAGAACTAAAACATAATTTCTCTAAAAGCCAAAGGCAAATTTTGATTGGAATTAGGATCGTTAACTAGAACAGAAAGATTTTTATGAATGTGAAATGCCTCTAGAAAATCCAGTTTCTCCAATGGAAGATGTTTTTTGTTTTTTGAATAATTTTGGCAGCAGAAAAATTGAAAGTGTGATTTTCGGACCAGCAATGTTGAGCAACTGAAGACTTCTGTGTTTCCTTTTTTCTAACATATGCCTCATGTTCTTTGACGCGAAATTTTAAGGCTCTCTTAGTTTGGCCAATGTAAATTAAAACCACACTGGCAAGGAATCTTATAAATAACCCCAGGAATTCATATCCGGAATGGGGTCCTTGAGTATAGAAGTTGGAATTTTATTGATGGGAGAAAAACAACCCGAAAGTTAAATTTCTGCAAAATATGTGCAACTTTATAGCTAATTGATGGAAAGAAGGGAATGTCAACAGAATTTTTATAATCTCCTAAAATAAGAGTGTGGCTTTTAGTGTGTTCAGATGAGAATTTTTTAACTGCTTGATTAATAATGTTGGGTGAAAAGCCCCTGTCAATAGCTATTGCTTTTAAATAATTTAGTTCTTCATAGAACTTAGAACTTTGTTCTTGCTTTATCAGTTCATGCACAACAACTGATTTTAGACGACTTTCACAGAATTCCTCCTGAAACGAACATTGACCATGATTGAATTCGTTATACCTTTTTTTTTTTTTTTTTTCTTTTTCTCTTTTCCTTTTTACTGTGCTGTAAGATGCTGCTTTATCTCTGTATAATCATCATAGCACTCTTGTCTTGATAATCCATGTTGAAAGTTATGTAAAATAATCATACGAAAATGTTCACACATCAATTTAATTTTTTTGCCCACATGAGATGTTTAAAATTCCTGTTTCTGCCACCAGTAGATGGTAGAGACGTTAAATGCTAATATCATATCCCATAAACAAATTTAGTTTGGGTATGCTGAATTTGACAAAGGCAGAACAGCAACCAGATTAATACTAGGTGAGCACCAATTCAATTGGCAAAACGCATCTTCCACAAATGATAGTTACCTTTTTACATTACTTTGTTATAACTCTGATTTGAGGTCATATCAGGGTAAAACAACATTGCTTTCAACTTAATAAGGGGCTCATTACGTGAATAGACAATAGGTAGTATCACATTCAAGAGTAGCTGAGTTAGTGGAAGATTTGTTCATGCTACTTCCTGTAAGCAGCTCAGCCACCTAGGGCACTGATTTTTGAAAGGTGTCATCTGATTTTTGAAAGGCACTGATTTTTGAAAGTTATTTTATTAAGTGAGCATTAAATGAAGATATATTTTGTTTTTGAATTATTAATATGAGTAATTTATGCAGGGCATCAACTGCACCCAAGGGTCCCAGAAATCCTAAAACCAGACCTGAAACTGATCTGTACATTTATCAGATATTGTTAACTTCAGTTTAAAAATTCAAATCAGTGAAAGAGAAGCTTGCATGTGAACCAAAAAAAAAAATTTATTCCCAAAGTGGTTTTTATTTCCTATCTTGTTCATTTGTGGTTTTGCAGCTGAAGATGATGGTTTGGTAAAACCATCGAAACTAGTCCTGTGAAAATTTTGTAGGTATAACGCTGATTTTTGTTGTTTGACTTCTGAATTAGTATTTATTCGGCGTGTTATTGTGTCTTAATTATGTAGAGTAAGTCAATGCCTTAATATAAAAATCAAGGTACTTACCCCATTTCATGTCTTTGTTAGATAAAGATTCACTGATACTGTATCTATTCTATACAATCTTCAGAATCACATGATTCGCACAAACACAAAAATTTATGAGATCAACTTTCTGTAGAATGTGCTGATTCTTCCTTCACAGTATGGAACTTTAATATTAACTAAGGGACATAGGAAATGAGTAAGAACGGTAGCGATACTCTAAACTTTATCACTTAGAATATAACATTACGAAGAGAAACTGGAGTCGGTATGATTCCGACAACATCAAATTTAGGATGATTTTTGATGAAAAAAATTCGTTCTGCAGCCCCCTGACAATTCTCTAAAATATCACTTAGATGATAACCTTGCTAAGAAAACTTGAATTTTTATTGTTCCAACAACATCAAAAACAGGAGGATTTTTGATGGAGAAAACTCATCGTGCAGAACCCTGGCGGTTCTCTAAAATATCACTTATATCGAACGAAGAAACTAGAATCAGGGTGATTCCCACGATGGGAAAATCAGGATGAATTTCATTTCATCAACTTACATAGAACATTATAACAACTTGTGCTAATTTCTAAACTGCATGAGAGTTCTGTTAAAACTTCACTGAATCAGGATGGTTCGGTCTTAACTGGAAACCTCATACAATCAAGAGGATACTATTCAATTCAAGGACCACGTCTTCGTTTGACTAGTGGGCCTTTTAAAATCCCACAGCTGCTACCACCAGTTATAACATAGTCGTAACTTCGTCAAATAAACAAAACCTGTTCTAAGCTAAATATTTACTTATATGTATACCATTGTGTACAGATTACATTTGAGAATTCTTTAAAAATACATTTTCACTACAGTGGAGTGCACAAAAAGCATCTGCTCTTTTCTTTTCCACATCTCAATCTCTTTTTACTTCCACGTGCCACCGAGAGAAAAGTCTGCTCCCGTCTTTTGGCCGAGTCGAGAAGAGGGTTCTCTGTTCTTTTTTTGAGGGTGAGTGACCAAGTGTTCTTCAGAGAAAGGAGCCGTTACAGAGCTGATGTGTGAGAGCTTGCATTGTCATGATGAATGATTTGCCTCTTCCGCTTTTTTAAAATTTCTTGGATGACTTCCGGCAAACAAATGATCGTGTACCATTCTGAACTGACCGTCTGACGTTGCTGTAATACCACTGTCACCACATGGCTGGTAATGCCTAACAAACAGGCAACCATTTCCTTTGATGTGCTTCTTCTGCAAACAACTTTTGTTGGATTTGGCTCATCTTGGAAGACCCATGCAGTCAATTGCTGTTTTGTTTCAGGCTCATATGCATATACTAGATCCATGATTTGTTACCTGTGTAGATGTTATATACACAGCCTTTGATGCACCTTGAATGTACTTTCCCAATGTTTTCATGCACCAATCGACATGAGCCTTCTTTTGAGCGTTTGCCAGATTATGTGCGATCCGATGCAAACAAATATTTTTTTACAGCTAAATGTTCATGCAATATCTTATTGATGCTTGTCATACTAAAGCCCAAAGATGCCTATATCTCACAGTATGACACATGGTGATCTTGCTTTATTAGTTCATGCACAACAACTGATTTTAGACGACTTTCACAGAATTCCTCCTGAAACGAACATTGACCAATTGACCATGATTGAATTCGTTATACTTTTTTTTTTTTTTCTCTTTTCCTTTTTACTGTGCTGTAAGATGCTGCTTTATCTCTGTATAATCATCATAGCACTCTTGTCTTGATAATCCATGTTGAAAGTTATGTAAAATAATCATACGAAAATGTTCACACATCAATTTAATTTTTTTGCCCACATGAGATGTTTAAAATTCCTGTTTCTGCCACCAGTAGATGGTAGAGACGTTAAATGCTAATATCATATCCCATAAACAAATTTAGTTTGGGTATGCTGAATTTGACAAAGGCAGAACAGCAACCAGATTAATACTAGATGAGCACCAATTCAATTGGCAAAACGCATCTTCCACAAATGATAGTTACCTTTTTACATTACTTTGTTATAACTCTGATTTGAGGTCATATCAGGGTAAAACAACATTGCTTTCAACTTAATAAGGGGCTCATTACGTGAATAGACAATAGGTAGTATCACATTCAAGAGTAGCTGAGTTAGTGGAAGATTTGTTCATGCTACTTCCTGTAAGCAGCTCAGCCACCTAGGGCATTGATTTTTGAAAGGTGTCATCTAAGTTATTTTATTAAGTGAGCATTAAATGAAGATATATTTTGTTTTTGAATTATTAATATGAATAATTTATGCAGGGCATCAACTGCACCCAAGGGTCCCAGAAATCCTAAAACCAGACCTGAAACTGATCTGTACATTTATCAGATATTGTTAACTTCAGTTTAAAAATTCAAATCAGTGAAAGAGAAGCTTGCATGTGAACCAAAAAAAAATTTATTCCCAAAGTGGTTTTTACCTCAGTTTCACATTATGTGATATCATGATGACATCAGATTTAAATTTATTGTGTGGAACTTGTAATATATATATAATATTCATTTACTTAAATCTCTTTAAAAAATATTTATATTTTTTCCTTAGGAAATCTACTCTGTTCAATATTTTAACAGCCAGTCAAGTACCAGCAGAAAACTTTCCTTTTTGTACCATTGATCCCAATGAAAATAAGTATTTACTTTTATTATTTATTCTAGTATTCTTCATTAATTCTGTACATTGTATGAAAATTTTAACCATCTTCACTTGCCAATTTTCATAACAACATATCTACAACAGGCTGACATGGACCAGTCAGTGCAAAGGCTTAAAAAAATTGATTAAAAGTATATAATTAAACTGCTATATATGTTAAATGTTTATTATAACCAAAAGCCATATATGTTTTCAGAGTTAGAACACATATATTGAAATTTTAAATAACGTTTAAAAATTTTAACTTTAGATTTTAAGATGAAGGACCATATATTGCTTAATTCTTGAAGATCTTTCCTTATCTGATCTCTCTAAAATAAAAACTGTGATCAAATATATATTCTGTTCTGAACCCAAATATTCCATCTGCTGTTAATTTGCTTGATTATTTGTCTTCAAATCAGGAAACCCCTGTAACTATAATTTTCTTTGCAGAATCCCTAAATTTAGTTTTTTTTTGTTGGAATTCTTTCCCATCCTTGGAAGAGTAAAAATTTAAAAAAGCCATTTAAAATATGTTAATGTTACATGAAAAAATAAAGTAACGATAACAATAAAAAATATGAATTAATTAAATTTTTTTGTTGGTTAGATTTGCAGTCAACTATGTTGTTTTGAAAAGTTATTTTAATTTTGACTCAATTAATTGCTTAAAATTCCAAGATTCTGCAGGATGCAGCTAGACTGTATTCTATCTCAAAATTTACAAAACTATTATTCCATTTTGATCTCATTAATAATTTAAGCACTACTTCATAGCCACTACCTAGTTCTTTCACTGTAAGAAATTTATTTCAGTTTCCCAGAAATTTAGAAGCATGAACCATCATGGTTTATAATAATTTCATCTTGGTTTCATATTATAATTTCATCTTGATTTCATATAATTTAATATCCTAATTCATGACTAAATCTAAATAATTTAGGCAAATAGCTGGGTTTTTCAATCTGTTATATTGATGTCATTTTGTTTTCTTTAGATGGCAATAAAGTTTGTAACTAAGATTTTATCTTTAATGAATTCAGTCAGTCTTGTCTTTCAGTTCATTATATGCAGTATACTTTAAAACTTTCTCACTTTGCCCTCTGCAAGAAGATTCGAGATGTCAAATCTTATATGTCAGTCTTACTAAATGAAAGGTAATCTCATTTTATTCTTTTATTTTCCATCCTAAAAAGGTTTTCTTTGAATATTGAGAGATTTATTTAAAAGCAGTTGCGTTATTGATGGAGTCTTTTCACCTTGTATCATCAGCCAAATTTTTTATAAAAAAATGTCTTCTTACGAGACAAAACATCATTGTTTCATTCCAAATAATTGAATAATATGGCTGTTATCTTTTTCTCTTTACTATTTACAAAATTTTGATGAATTTATGAGTTTGGCTGTTAAGTCATTCCTTTTAATAATGAACCAGATTTGTAATTCAGTGCTTTAATACCATATTATTAATACAAATTTCTGAAGAATTCATTATGGTATGAAATAAATTCATACGGGAGTAATATCTCATAATAAATTGGCTTGTTATATATAACAGTCAAATCAAAAAGAAGTGAAATTTCATACTAAAAAAATTATGGTCAGAAAAAGAAATGTATAAATCGTTTATTGCTAAACATTGATGAAACTTTAACCCAGATTTTTGAATTTTCATTTGCCAGAATTACTCAACGGACATCTTCAATTAGTAAATTGGATTTTTTTTTTAACTTTTCCATATCTGTAAAAATTTTTGAATTCAGTTATTCGCTTTTCAATTTGCAATCCTCTTACTTTACCTTATGGTTCATTTTTGCTTCCTTTTTCCATCAGAAGATGGCATCATTGGTAATTTTCATTTTGATTGCAAAATAATCAGGTTATTTATCCAAATTTTCCAGAACTTTCCTTTTGTTTTTTTCCCTTAAAGTTCTTTTTCTTATTTTTCTGTAGCAATTGAAGGAGTAGAGTTTCACTACCAAAATAATGTAGTTACTTATCTCATTTATGATGCCATTAATTTGTTGCTAACTTATCTATTTTCATTTTATGAAAATTTTTCTTTAGATCCCAACTTGTTTTCATCTACAGGAAAATAAAATGTTTTGGGGCATTTTTCATTCTTTTAAATGTCCCTTTAGCTGTTTTAGCCCTTAAGCTATTCTATTATTTTTGATTTATAATTGTTTAATATTTTTAAGGGTTTGAATCAGAAACTTTGTAAAACCTAATAATTCTTACCGATAATAAAAATACCAAATATTTTTTTAAATATATTTTTTAGGGGGGCATGGATTATATGATTACTACAGATGTGTGGTTTTTGTATGAATTTTTTTAATAGTAAACTAAGCATCAGTTACAATTTTTTATTTTAAATGGCAGAATATTTTAGGCAGTATTCTTTTATAGCAGTCCCATAGCCTTTTCAAATTTTTTACGTGTTATTTACCGCTACCAGCCTTTCCCAACCAATTTCTAAATTAATGTAGTAGTTTAATAATACAATAATAAGTATATATAGTAATATAATAAGTAGAATGATGGTATAATATAATAGTAATTTCATAATGGAATGACAGATGAAATATAGACTATCAGCGGCTGAGCGGTAAAATCGCTGATCACTTTCCGGGGTTCAAATTCTGCCAAACAAGCTGGTTGCATGGTCATTTCAGTTGTTTTCTGCATGTGTAACATGTATATGAGCCAGTTTCCCTTAAAAAGTCCTCTACAAAGACATCTCTTACCATAGGCAGATAGCTCTTCAGTGCTTTACTATTATTAAATAAAACAAAACAATGGGGTAACTCGACAGACAAGATTGTAAAATGGGTACTGAAGCCTTTCCGTGCGAACTATGAAATATTTATTATTTATAGGTAAATAGGATTAAAAAGCATTTCATTAAACAAAATAAGCAGTGTGTATAAAATGGCAAAACAAATTACATCAGACAAAATAAGCATAAACATAATCAAACATTCATTTTTGTGGATAATTCCTGGTGACAACAGTTCAGAAATTGCAGCTAATAATGCATCAAACATATTGTCATGACCAAAGTGGTATTGGAAGATGAATTCAGCCAGGTACAATTCTAGGTGATGGTGGGCCATGCCTCTGTGCTTTGTGTTCCACCGTTTTGCAGACCCTCATAATCAATCGATATTCTGGGTATAAACTCCAATCGTTGAATTAGCGAAGTTATATCCATGATTGATTGTAAAATGGCTGAAACCCAATTACTTCAGTTCGATAGCCTTTCCAACAGCCCTCACGTGTTCATAGATTTCTGCCACCAGGGTTTTTGTACTTCTATTGCATACTTGAACTAAGAAGCACTTGTTGTTTTTGCGGCAAATGACATCTAAAATCTACTCTTTTGGAAGAACTCTACTAGCATGATTCTTCCGTTTTACAAAAAGAGATTCATCAATTTGACAATGTTATCAGGTGCTCCTATTTTTCCGGTTGATATCATGATATTACAGTCCACTTCCCTCATGTCCCAATCAGCAACTGCTGTATGTCCCATGTTTAATTGTTTGTTGCATCATCGCAATGAAGTGAGTTCCTTGGTCCAACAATACATGAATCTCAATCCAGTGAAAAATGATATTCTTGATCCATTAAACCATTTGCCCACATGAAGATCCTTTTCTTTTTTATAATTTCTAACATTGCTTCTCCAAATAGTCTCTTCTGCAACTTACAAATCCATCTTACGACCATTTCCACAAATTTTTTCGCCAGGCAAAATATGTTTCTCTTGGAAAAAAAGCTGTTGCACCTTTCTACGTCAATGGCAGACTGAAAATAGTAAGCATTTTTATGAAGAAAATTTTTATGTGCAGATGAAGTGTAAATCACGTGGATATAAGCAGTTTAATACGATGAAAAACACATGCAATCCTCCGATTCTTGCTAAGAATGCTGACTTGCACAAGGACTGCCATTAATTCGTGCTAAGGCAATGGGACCATTATAAAAGAGAAGTATCAATCAAAACTATTTGTACAGATTGCACAGAAGTTACTGTGATATGTATATCTACAGCATTCACTCTTTTAAAGAAATTGTCCACTGCCTTTTTCAATCAATGTTTTAAAATAATTTTTTTAAATTTTTTGGTCAAATTTGTACTTTTAATATTCATTATCAAGTTGCATTTTGTACAGTTATAATACAGAAACCCTGTATTATTCACCAATTAAAACTTATGGTTTATGTTAGAATAATTCATATGTGTTTCTTTAGATACGTCGTGTTCCAGTACCAGATAAGAGGTTTGATTACCTGTGCGAATATTTTCAACCTCTGAGGTAAGTTTTTCATTCTTCATATATGTCATGATTTTAATACAGTCTTATATTTTGTATTCCAAATGTTTGTGACTAATCACGTATTTGCAGTTAAATATCCCCCTCCCCGCTCTAGTGCACAAAGATGAATATAATACAAACCTTGAGATTGGGACTTTGGTGATCCCAGATTTCAGATTTTTCCAGATATTAGATCATCATTTTAAATCTACTAAGACGGCATGTAGAAAGTATAAAATCAAAAATATGAAATCATGATATATGAAATAATGAAGTGTTTATGATCTAAAGGGTATCAATATTTTCAAAATATAAGTAATATTTATTTGTTTATTTTATTAAACATTTCTCTCAATGAAAGTTGTTTAAGTTCCTTTTTTTGTGTTTGTGTGCTAATACTTTTCTCTTTAATTCTATAGATAGATCTAATTTCTTGTTCAGTTAGAAATTTCCATTGTTCAAGTCCTGTAATTGCTGTGTCGAGAATTCCAACTAGTCAAATGAGCCGTACCGTTGTGTATGAAATGATTTTCAAACCAGTAATTCATTAACACTTGTGTCCTCCAAGCTCTTTTATTTGCACAATATACATATAACAGGGGAAATCTTTACTTCTTTTAATGCTCGAGATCGTGTGTTTTTGCAGTTATGAAATGTTTACACTTATGCATTCCTGCAGCATTTGCATATGTTAAATTTGTTAGTCTCTCTTTGGAATCTTTGAGACCAGTTGGAGCCTTTTATGTAGAACTTATCAAGGTATTCCATGGTACATATTACCAGAAAAGACCAGTTTCGTCAGCATTATAAATTTGTTGAGATAACTTTTCACTATTAGTGAGTTCAATAAATTCATCTGCAAATAGTTCAGCACCTTCAATATCAGCTATCATGAGATTGGTGACGAAAGGCAAGTTGTTTTGCTTCTATTGAACACTGAGACAATTAAGCCTGAATTGTATTATTATAGATATTCATTATACTTACATCTATTTCTTGCACGTGCTTAAGACTTATCAAGGGCCGGGGCTATATATTTTGCCACCTGATGCAGTCTTTGCAGATCCTAAATTCTGCTAACAAGTGCATCTCTAAGTTCTAAATTTTGGGTCCCAGTGCTTTCCCTAAATTCTAAACATTTTGTCTTCCCTAAGTTCCGCCGCCTGGTTCAGCCATACAAGCTCTGGCACTAAGATTTATGTGAATAACAAATCAGTTATTCTTAATTCAAATAGAACTAAATGTAATCTTTTGGCTTATGAATATCATTAAGAAAAATCTATTTTTAGCATATCGAAAGAAATTTTTGTTAAATTTTTCCTCGTCAACATTTGTTAGCACATTTAACTTAAATCTGTTAATCACTGCCAAGCATAGTGTCAACAGAAAAGTTTACCATGCTCATTATTGTTCAATTACTTATATAAAAATATTGTTTAAGCACTGCTGAATGAGTCATTACACAAGTTGTCATGTGGTGATGGAACCCAAATATAACAAATAATGATTTGTTGGGTTGGCTTCAGGGATATAAAATATTAGTTGGTGTAAAATCGATGATTTTTCTATGTAGAATGTTTGGTTTGAGATGTATGCCAAGCGGATAAACAGCTACGGAGTCAAATTATTGGTCAAACGAATTTATGCTAAAATGATTGTTTCTTCAATAACGAGGTATTTTTTTTAGTGCTGAAGTGAAATTAAGAATTAGGACTCTGTGCATATTTTATTATGGGGAGGGGAAGAAATCAAATGCACATGCGTAAAGCATACTAAAATATTCTAAAAAAGTGTTGGTCGCTTTGAGTGAGAGGTTATCTTCTGTAGTGGTAAGTTATTGTTCATTAAGAAGCATCATAAATGGCATCCTCTTTATTGTTTGTGATACTTCTAGGTCTTCAAAGAACTTTTGTTTTAAATTTTTTAGTCAAATAAAAAAATCTCTATATTTTATGTTTTCACCCTGCATCTCATTGTATTTTATGTTTTCACCCTGCATGTTAAAATTTATTAATTATAAATGTTTCTTTAAATTCTTAATAAACTTACTTTTCCTTACGTAAAGAGTGTTCTAATTTTAAGCAATCTGAATTGTTTTATTTAAAGTTAATAAAAGTGAATAGATTATGAAAAAAATGTTGGAATTTTATGAAAACGGCAAATTTTTACTTGATAAAAGTGCAATGATATTATTACTGTTTATTGGCCTTAATAAATATTTTGAAAAGGTATATATTTTTTAAAGGTGTCTGCTGAAAGCCTCATAGAAGAAAATTCACGGAGAAAACAATTTTACTCAAAGCATCGGGGTATAAAACATCATCGAAAATATTGGAGTAAAAAATAAAGCAAATACAAATCATTGCATGGCGATAACATCACAAACATGTGTTTTGCCTTTAAAAGTTGTAAATAATGATTTGTGAGTACAAGCAGGAATAAGGAATATTTTTACTTTTATATTTCCTATATCTAAATTAAGTAATAAATTTTTGCTGAAAATTTAAGTATGAAAGTTAAGCATTCAGAAACTGAAATGAGTGAAAATTATCACTTAGTAGAATTTTAATCATATGTAGTTAACTAATAAATATTATTAATTAATTTATCTCTTTTATAAAGTTTTATTGTTAATTTCCAATAAATGATTTTAATAAAAAAATTTAGATTCAAAATATTCCAATAAAATTTTAAGTTTTTATTAGTAATTTTCCTATTAATTTTCTACTTAGTTTTTGAATGCTTAAGTTCCCTTCTTATTTTTTTCAGCAACAATTTATTAGTTAATTCAAAATTAGGAAGTATAAAAGTTAAAATATTCATCATGCCTTTTTTCACTCATAAATCATTTCATGAATAAGCATTTACAATTTTTAAAGCCTAAAATACACATATCTGCATTTTTATAGCCATGTGATGATTTGTAGATACTTTTTTTTAACCACAATATTTTCAATGATGATTTTTTTAAACTGCAAATTCTTTTAAGCACTTTATTTTACACTGCAACGTATTGTACTATGATGTTTTAGAACTGCGATATTTTCTCCTTGCTTTCTTTTCTTCCACGATGTTTTGTATGATGTTTTTGCCTTGCATTGTTTTCTTCATTTTGTTTTTGTCCATGATGTTTTCACCTGTAACCTTTTTTAAAAATATGATTTTACCTTTTTGTTTGTTGAACTAATAAGTTGTTATGAACTAAAACTCACTGGCACAAACAGCCCTAATGGGCCAATGCTTGCAGTGCCCCGAAATAGCATAAAATAAGTTGTTATGACTAATTTTAATTTAAAAAAATATGTCTCAAATGCTGTCCTCTTATTTTCCGTCAGTCACCATTTTTTCTGCATATCTTTATCATCTTTATTATTTTATTACAGTCTTTTTTAAAATATGTTTTACCTTTTTGTTTGTTGAACTAATAAGATAATGTTTATCTATGTTTAAGATGTTATATTTAAGCTGTTTAAAGATGTTTATCTATATTATTTTATAATGTTTATCTGTATTATATTATAGCAAAGTTCCAGCCTTTTTAAACGTAGTTGACATCGCAGGTCTTGTGAAAGGAGCAAATGAAGGACAAGGCTTAGGAAATGCTTTCTTGTCTCATATTCGAGCATGTGATGCCATTTTTCACTTATGTCGTAAGTTCTAATATGTGCTTCTATAAATAAATAAACTTTCTCATTATGCTAAATATTTATAAAGTATCGTGCTAATGCAAGCATCAGTAGAGCATAATCAACATGAAGTACTAATATGTAGGGTATGTTTTTAATCACTAATGTATAATATGTATTACACGTGTTTTTGTATTTTAATTTGTTGTTCTCTTGGTGATATAATTTCAGTTGATGTTTAATAATTTCATTTGATATCTTATATATGTATATATAAAGCATAGGTAAACTGGCAGACTTTTGTCCATTTGGGATGTAAAAGAAAATAATACATTTTTCATATGTTGAATAATATTCATACCACATAATTTCCTAATTAATTCATATGAAATATTTCATACATTATAATTTACATCATTATGACTTTTGCCAGCATGATGGTAATTTGAAAATAACTTTTTTTTTTTTTTTAAATGTCTTGTCCTTAGAGGCAAAGAACTCAACTGGTAGTTGACTGACATCTGCTTCAGATTTGAATTTTCCCTTCAAAACATTTTGCAAGGAGCAAAGCAAGTGATAATTGTAGGATGCTAGGTCTATGGAGTATGGTGGATGCGGCAAAATTTTCCAGCCTGTCTTTGGTTTTCTGTTGAGTCGCCACAGCAGCATGTGGTCTTAGCATTATTCCTATTGAAGATCTCTGGCCTCTTTTCTTTGACTATTTTGTTTAAGTCATCCATTCAAGCCAACTTTATTAGCACAGGCAAATTGTCTGGGCTCACAATGTTTATCTTTTCATAGATAATCCGCTTTTCATTGCTATTTATCATCCAGTCCAAGAATGATTTGTTTTAGTTTCAAGCAAGCAGAGGTGTACATATGATGACTCGATCATTCAAATTTTTCACACTTATATCACAAGGCAAACATATGGAATATGTATAGACTAATTCTAATTTCTAAATATGGTCTGAAATGGTTTCTTGAGCAGAGTTAATCTTTTGTTCAATCTCCGATGTTGTGAAGGAAAAAAAAAAAAAAAAAACGATTTTGCTGTTGTCATGGTAATGACAGTATTATCATCAATCAAAAATGGCTGCCCAGAGGGTGGCTTATTAAATTTGAAATTACATGCTTCATATTTTTCGAATTATCTCCTACATGTTCTGCCTGAAAGTTTTCATTAAATTTTGACACACTTCTGTTGCTGTTGTTTCATGTAAGAGAAGAGTATATGTGTATAAATGCAGTGATAAGGAGAGATAACCATATATGTCTCAAATGAACACATGCATGCATGTTGAAACTTGAAACAGCATTATTAGGCAGAATTTCCCAGTAGAACTTATATATATTTGTAATCAAATTAAAATCCTTTGATTTCTCTCCCTTCTTTGGTTTGTTTCTATAAAAGATACACAAAAGGAAAATATATGAACTGTACTTATAGTAAATAGAAATGGGAATGGAAGAAATCAACATAAAAATAAGTTACTTTCAAATAAATGATTTTGAAATTTAACTGTAAATAGTTTGCTCGAAAAGATGTATGGGCATTCATGAAGTAAATTATCTTTCATAAGGGAAATAATGTGAATTATGTGTTGCTAATTTTAAAATACAAACTTACGAGGGCCATCCAGGAAGTAGATTACGTTTCCGTCTGTGTCCGCTAGGGGCGGGGCTAGCGCGGCCATCTTGGGGTCAGAGCGTTGCGCAGCTCAGTCTGCATCTAGCCGTGCTAGTGAGAGGTTCATGCTGTGCTCCGTTCAGATACTGTGACGGTTTGAAATGTCTGCGTTAATTGAAAATTCCGCGAGGTGCGCTCAGTAATAAGGTTTCTGACTGCAAAAAACTGTAAACCGATAGAAATCTATCGGCAGCTTCGTGAAGTGTATGGGGACAACATTATCACTGAAGGTGGAGTGCGTCAGTGGGTCATAAGATTTCAAAATGCCCGAACCAATGTTCACGACGAAGATCGAAGTGGGAGACCCAGCATAGTGACGCCGAACTTCTCGAAAAGTCGATGCTAAAGTCCGTGAAATTCGAAATTTCACAATAACAGAACTTTCTTTGAGTTTTCCACAAATTTCGCGAAGTTTGTTGCACGAAATCATCAGCGAAAGCAAGAAGAGTAACGAAGTGTTGAAGGCGCAGGCGGCCGAATTTTTCGACGAAGGAATTTCCAAGCTCGTACATCGCTACGATAAATGCCTTAATTTGTATGGTGACTATGTAGAAAAGTAGTATTTGAGTGTGGCTTTCATCTGTATATAATAAAATTTGTTTCCTATACTTTGTTTATTTTTTTATTCCAAAACGTAATCTATTTTCTGGATAGCCGTCGTAGTTTAGTAATACATTATTGCACAAATAAAAATATAGAATGAACTATCGAAGCCAACTGAAATTAAAAATGGCGTTCGACAGGGTGATACATTGGCATGTCTTCTCTTCAATTTGGCATTAGAAAAAGTAATAAAAGCTTCAGATACCAGAGGAAACGTTTTTAATAAACTGGTATAGCTATTGGCTTTTGCTGAGGACATTGTCATTATTGCTAGTGTGGTGATGGCGATAAGGAGCGCGCCTTGCGCCCTCCGATAAGTGTGGCAACCCTAGAGGAGAAGTTTTCTTACGAGTAGCGAGCAGAGCGAAACAGGCAGGCTGTCGGGGAGTATGCGCGATGTTCCTAAATAAAGTTTAATTTTTATTGTGCACTATGTCTTGTTAATATTTATAGTAATGCAGTAAGAACATAATCTGTGATATGGAATTCGAGGATTGGTGGTAAAAACATAACCGGAAATCTCCATAATGGTAACCCGGACTGGTGTTAAATCGTATGAACAGTTTCTCAAGCACTTTCGGTTTTGACTACAAGCCATCACTCAAGATCTCCAAACCAGAAGTAATGGATTACATCGGTTTTCATCTCCGAATCACAGATGAGTAGTAATTAGATCATTTATAATTCTGTTTTCTACTTATCATTTAATTTCATTTTCTTTAGTTAAATTTTTGCTTTTATTTTGGCTTAAAAACCTTGCACAATGTCTGATGTTTATGCCGTCCAAATTCCGGTTTATAACCGATCAGATCCATCTTATGGTTTATTATGTGTGAAAGTCTTTTGCTCTTGCCACCCCCAAACCTATCACAGAATCCATTACTAAATATAATTATGTTTCTCATCTTCCTCCAGATTCGCATCACTAGTACGGGATTTACTTATGAAACCAGACCCTATTGATCCATGCAAGCTTAAAACTGAGTTATAAATCGTTCACGAGAATCTTCTCAGCAAGAAATTCGCCAATTATTATCTGGAGAAGAATTAGGCTCTCGAAAACCTTCGATTTGCTTAGAAATATGAAAACGTCGAGCAGAATCTTTAAATGTTCCTGATAACTTTGTTAATTTGTTCCAATTTAACTGTCAGTCAAGCTTCAAGAAATTTGCCACAGAATTTTTAGAAGTAAGTCCAACCCCCAGGGACTTGTGCCGTTTCTCGCACAGTCGATCAGTCTCTTGAGGATAATTATTTAAACAAATAGAAAATTAAACAAACGTATTGATCGCATTTCTCTTTCTCGTGGTCGCTCGCCAAACCGCGGAGATCGCAATAGAGAAGAAGCAATTCCAAAAGGAGAGATTATTCTGTTTGCTGGTATCATAGACGTTTGGGAAAAAGTGTAGAGATGACAAATGTACAAAACCTTGTTTGGCAGGGAAACGAAACCAGCAAAGAATAGAGGCGACTTATTCTTTGCCTCAAGTTTCACGTCGCCTGTTCGTTCGTGACCGTAGAACAAACCTTTCATTCTTGGTCGATACCGGCTCTGACGTGTCCTTACTTCCAGCAAATAATTCTCAAAAACGGAATTCGTCCCAACAAACACTTTTCGCTGCTAATTCTTCTACTATTCATGTTTATGGTCAAAAAACACTTTCTTTGGATTTCAAATTAAGACGACAGTTTACATGGACTTTTCTTATAGCAAATGTTTTAGTACAACCCATTCTTGGAGCAGATTTTCTCCATTTCTTTGAATTGGTGCCTGATCTCAGAAACAAATGTCTCAAAGATTTAAAAACGCATTTTAAAACCGTCGGTTGCGTGAAAAATGCAAGCATTTATTCAGTAAAAACTGTATTTAGTGATACACCATATCACAAAATTTTAAAAGAATTTCCTTCAGTTACTAGATTTACCAGATCCTAACCAACCTGTTAAACATAACACCGTTCATTATATCATAACTAAAGGTCCACCTGTGGTTGCAAAACCTCGTCGGTTAGCTCCAGATCGCTTAAAAATAGCAAAACAAGAATTTCAAACTATGATGCAATTGGGGCATTTGAGACCTTCGAGCAGCAATTATGCATCCCCACTTCACATGGTTCCAAAAAAGGGAAGTCTGGAATGGAGACCTGTAGGAGATTATCGAGCATTAAACGCTCAAACAATAAAAGACAAATATCCTATTCCATGCTTAGCTGATTTTACTACTGCATTGCACGGTACTAAAATTTTTAGTCATGTCGACCTGATTAAGGCATACCATCAAATACCAATTAAACCAGCCGACATCCACAAAACCGCCATATGCACACCATTCGGTTTATTCGAAAGTACCCGTATGCAATTCGGCTTATGCAATGCATCCACGACTTTTCAACGTTTCATAGATGAAGTCACGCGGGATTTAGAAAGTGCTTACGCTTTCGTCGATGACTTGCTCATAGCCTCTAAAGATTCTGAGGAACATTGCAGGCATTTGAAAGCTTTATTTTCCAAACTTCAGGAATATGGACTTTGCATAAATGTTTCAAAATGCACCTTTGGTCAAACGTCTATTGATTTCTTAGGTTTTCACCTTAGTGAAAACGGAATTGAACCTCTTCCTGACAAAGTCAAATGTATTTTAGATTTTCCTCAACCTACCACTCTCACTCAGCTTCGCCGATTTTTAGGCATGTTAACTTTTATAGATGTTTCATACCTAAAGCAGCACATATTCTTTCTCCTTTAATAAATTGTTAGAA